CTTGACTTTCCAGAAGTCAGATGTAACCTACACCATTCTGAGAATATAAAGCAAAGTAATGGAACAGTATTTATCTAAGCTACACAGTTAATTGTACGTAGGGGTGAAGTAAGGAAAAAAGAAGGAAATGATCACATAACCGAGTGTAGGCATTCTAGTACATCCATTACAAGCTCAAACTGCTGAAGTGATTGCAATGACAAGGTATATTACATTGACTGATCTAAGATACTACGTCAGGGTATATAACACCTGAAACTTTATACTTTGAAATGCAGAAATACAAAACTGCCATGAACAGGCAGCCCCTTCTCAGCCACGAGACAAGACGCACTTAGCTCAGAGCACAAGGAGACAGGAACAGGAGAGGGATATGCTCACAATAGCCAGTCTATGTATTTACTCAGGCTCGAGAGGCATATTTTCAATTTGAAATTCACACCACTGATATCCCAACCCCATCCAAGTCACAGGTCATCCAAAACCACTAGAAGGCTGAAAATAGAAGTACCATAGTCAGATTATGTCATGAACACATAATGAAGTTAGATGTGCCAAGCACTTTCCTTGTTACTTCATCATGTTTGTCTGTCACTGAAAACATCTTCAGGTCTTGGCTGAGCAGCTATTTAATCTCTAAAGATAACAACTGAATGATTCCCCTTTGACTACAAAAGCAGACTGTGTTCTTAAATTAGATGGTCTAATGTACATTATAAAAGGCCGACAGCCAATTTCCTGATGGATAGGAAGGCCCTGGGTGAGTAATTCAGACACTGTAAGCCATTGTCTAATCTTTCACATCTCTTACCTTGTCCTGTCAAGAGAGCTTCGTGCCACTGAAAGCTCTTACTTCCTCATATCAACATGCCAGAACGTGCTAGATACCATAGCCAGCAGAACAGAAGAGACTCAATAAAATGCCTGCCAGTGTTCCCCTGCTACTACTACTACTACTATCTAAAATATTTCTTTGAGGAAAGGGCCTGAAAGTAACCTTGAAACACCGATCATGCCGCCTTTCTTGTGTGGCAGTTGAGAAGCCCTTGATTTATTGTTGAAATGCAGCTACTGCAAAGAGAAACATGAAAACAGGGAAGACAAGCACATGGCTGAGAGGGAAGAATGTTACAGACTTCTCTACAGAGTTAACATGTTTTGATTATTTGAGTGGTGTCTCTAACTTGTGTTTTATCTATACACAAGAATTTTCCATTTGAGTTTAGTAATGTCTTCAGCAAAAGCAGGTCTACTTGTTGAGCAGAAAGAAAAGGAACTGAGACATGTTAATTCAAATTACTACACCTGATGGTTACTATAGTACTTGAATGCTGCCACTTTCAAACAAAAGAGCTGAAATGTAAGTTACTATGACATAGCCAAGAGGCAAATTCAGAGAAGAGATATTTTAGACTATTCTGATTTGCTGTGAAGGTGCAGTTTAGCTCTAGTTACTCCTTAATTGGATTATACTCAAGTCTCATACCACACTATCTCTTTTAGTCTTTTTTGGCTTGTTTTGTTTGGAGACAAAAATTTGTTGCCCAGAAGGAATAGCATTTGAGTTCTGATATTCACCTGGGGAATTACAGACCAGTCAGTCTCATCTTTGTGCCTGGCAAAATCTGGGAGCAGATTCTCCTGGAAGGCATGCTAAGGCACATGAAAATCAACAAGGTGCTTGGTGACAGCCAGCATGGCTTCACTAAGGGGAAATCCTGTCTGACCAATTTGGTGGCCTTCTGTGATGGGGCTACAGAACTGATGGACAGGGGTAGAGCAGTTGATGTCATCTACCTGGACTTGTGCAAAGCGTTCAACACTATCCCACACAACATCCTTGTCTCTAAATTGGAGAGACATCAATTTGATGGATGGACCACTCAGTGGATAAAGAACTGGCTGGATGGCCACATGCAAAGAGTTGTGGTCAATGGCTCAATGTCCGGCTGGAAACCAGTAATGAGTGGTGTCCCTCAGGGATCGGTGTTGGGACCGGTCTTGTTCAACATCTTTGTCGCTGACATGGACAGTGGGATTGAGTGCGCCCTCAGCAAGTTTGCCGATGACACCAAGCTGTGTGGTTCAGTTGATAGGCTGGAGGGAAGGAATGCCATCCAGAGGGAACTTGACACACTTGTGAGGTGGGCTGATGCCAACCTCATGAAGTTTAACCATGCCAAGTGCAAGGTCCTACACCTGGGTCAGAGCAATCCCAGGCACAGCTACAGGTTGGGCAGAGAAGAGATTCAGAGCAGCCCTGCAGAGAAGGACTTGAGGGTGCTGGTCGATGAGAAAATGAACATGAGCCAGCTTCAGTGTGTGCTCACAGCCCAGAAAGCCAACCGTATCCTGGGCTGCATCAAAAGGAGCGTGACCAGCAGGTTGAAGGAGGTGATCCTGCCCCTCTACTCTGCTCTTGTGAGACCTCACCTGGAATATTGTGTGCAGTTCTGGTGTCCTCAACATAAAAAGGACATGGAACTGTTGGAACAAGTCCAGAGAAGGGCCACGAGGATGATCAGGGGACTGGAGCACCTCCTGTATGAAGACAGGCTGAGGAAGTTGGGGCTGTTAATCCTGGAGAAGAGAAGGCTGTGTGGAGACCTCAGAGCAGCCTTCCAGTATCTGAAGGGGGCCTATAGGGATGCTGGAGGGGGACTCTTCATTAGAGACTGTAGTGACAGGACAAGGGGTAACGGGTTAAAACTTAAACAGGGGAAGTTTAGATTGGATATAAGAAGGAAATTCTTTCCTGTTAGGGTGGTGAGGCACTGGAATAGGTTGCCCAGGGAGGTTGTGAATGCTCCATCCCTGGCAGTGTTCAAGGCCAGGTTGGACGAGGCCTTGGGTGATATGATTTAGCGTAAGATGTCCCTGCCCATGGCAGGGGGGTTGGAACTAGATGATCTTAAGGTCCTTTCCAACCCTAATGATTCTATGATTGCAGGTCAATCTTGTGGGGGGGGGGGGGGGGGGAATGTAGGTAGCTAATAATAATAGCTAATGGTACAATTTCCACAAGCTTGAGGCAGGAAGTTAATGCTTTTGAGATGAGAATTAATGGAAGAGGTTGTCTGGCTCTTTTGGTTTTGTTTGTAAGGATTTTTGTTTGTTTAAGAGAGAGGTTAAGGTTTAATTCAAAGCTAAGAGACAAAAGAAGAGGAAGATGAAAGAAGGAAAGGCAGGTGGTGAGAAGATAGCAAAAGTATAATTTATATATAGTATAAATAGGCTCATTTTTTAACCAGCAGAATCCACTATATAAAGAATGGTTCAGCAATTTAAGCACTCAGAAAATGGAGGAACTGAGTGCTGGACATTTCTCAGAAGGATTCAAATCCACAACTCACTTACCTGAAGGGTGTGTTCCAACTGCTCTACAGAACCAGGTGCTTCCCCATTCCTCCATTACTGTCTGAAGTGGGCTATCAGGAAAGCAGGATTGCAAGAATCATGCTAGAAGGACAAGCAGCAAGCAAAAGCCCAGCTATGAGTTGCACACTGAGAAGAGGTAAATTTGGGCTCCACACTCTGTTCCTAGGATGTTTTTCACATTTTACAACAAGGACTTTGAAGTAAATGGAACAGTGTCAGTGAGGAAGGGAGTGAGAAAGATAAGTATTTTTAAAAGTAACCCAGGAAATAGGAAAGAGACACTAAGTTACTCTCTCTTCCCATCTTAACTTCTAAAACGGACTTATGCTGCTTCTCACTTGCCTCCATTCCAACTACATCCCATTTAAGGCACCTTTCTGGGCTCCACCCAGAGACTTGAAATGATGGCACTAGTTGCCATCAGTTAAGACATCTGTCAAGCAGGGTGAGTGGAAGGAGTGTGTCCCTTCTAGAATGCCAGGAGATATGTGAAGGTTACCAGGTCAGCAATTTCTCAGATATTTATGGATTAAAAACTGAGCCCTGGCCAAGTGAAGGGAGGCAATGGAGTGTCAAGGACAAGTACGCCTTGCAAACTTGCTCTCCTTTTGTCTCAGATAAAATTAGTCTAGGGCGAATCTATATAATAGAACTGTGGTAATTTTGTATTCCAAGAAATGAAAATGGGAGTGACAAAATGTGATCTCAGAAAAGTTTAGACAATGACGGTTAAAACTAATGATCAAGAGAAATCATGACAGGAAAGAAAAGAGACATCTAACTATGCAGATGTGGTCAAGAACTAGTAGGATAAAGACACCAGAGGAAAGATCAGACAGTCTGAGGATCTACCTGTAAGCTGAGAAGCAGTAGTAATGGGAATCATGAACAAGAATAAGGAGTTTTAAACCTGGAGAACTTGTGACAAGCCAACTGAGAAGGAAAGGGGAAGGCATATAAAGGAATAGAAAGAACTCAGACTGGAACTAGCAGAGAAACCAAACTAGAATAAGAACCCCTAGAAACAGAGACTGAGACACTTGTCTGTAGAACATAACTAGACTCCATCCTGAAACAACACACACACTTGCCCTAAAACCTTGTCTACTTCTGGTGACCCCTATAAAGCAGATTACTCATGATGTTTTAGGATATGGAAAGACATGCGGCCATGAACTTGCTTGTGAGAAAAAGTTGCCAACAGCCCCTAAAGGTATTTGAATGTTAGGTTTAAGGCTGTCTGTACAGAAATCAGGCTTGTAATAACCAGTTCTCCCTAACTGACAGGCTGCAAACAAACCTCTTCTGAATAGCTTGAGCATAGACATGGCTTCATTCCTTGGAACCAGTCACAGTCAAACAGCTAGAGGACAGATGCCAGACACTGGAAGAAAATTGCAGGCAACAGAGTATGCACATAAAGCAAGTATTTATGGCATAGCTAGAATACTACAACAGCGCTGTCTGTTGTATTTTCTGTACAAGTGCCATAAGCACAATTCTTCAGGAAAAAAAAAAACAAACCTAATTAGAAGATAGCTCATTACTAGCAAGACACCTTGCTCATTATACTTAAAATATTCATAAGTGCAAAGATACAAAGTGAAATAAGAAACGTTTACCTTCTTGTCTTTCTTTTATCAGTTCATTCTGTAGATGATTATGTTGTGATGATGTCAAATCCATGCTATGCCACAAAACCTGGGACAGAGAAACACAAGCCTGACTGAATAAAATGACTTTTTCTTCTTTCCCACATAACATTTCACAAATATATATATGTATATATATGTTTTACACATATTGTGCTATAATTTACTTCTATTTGTGACATTGACACATAGACAGATAAACATCAATATTCAAAGCATGAAAGAACCAGAAGCAGCAAATTAGTTGAACTGCTATACTCTGAAAGGTGGGGGAAGTGAGTAGATTTAAAATAAATAAATAAAAGAGCTTTGATAAACTTTAAAAACTTTTATGAAATCTTAGAAAAAATTAAAATCAGGGTCAGTAGTTTTAGAAACATTTAAAAGGAAATGTAGTAACAAATATGTGAAACAGAAGAAAAATTGCACCAAAAAGATCTTGTCTTGCTTGAAAAAATTGGCTTGGAAGGTGAGGAAACAACCTGTTAGTAAAGTGGCATATGAGAGTAAGTAGGAAGCAGGATCTATAGACAACATGCAGAACAGAATGCGTATGTGCCTATACAAACAAACACAGAACATGCAGACTTGGGGGGGGGGGGGGGGGGCAATAGGAAAAGTATGACAGAGGACAATACAATTTTCAGCTGCCTGCAGAAAGGCAGACAGACAACCAGCAGTGACAACCAGCAGCTTCCAGTTCTTGATATCTTGATATTTTACAATTAGGGAAACACTGAGTTCATGGGGGGAGAGGAGGAGAATGGAAGAAATCAAGAAATCAATATTTGATAATTTTTAAAGCTCTTGCACTGTTTACATGGAAATTTGACTGATTTTTTGCAGGAATGGTCACTAGATAAGTCAATGAGTGAATGAATACAAGCAAAGTACAAACATATGCAGAATATAGAGAAAACTTCCCCACAGTGCAGTCTTAGACAGGTTTTCCTCTCAAAACTTCAGACAAAAGAGGACAGTATAGAACAGCCCTGTCTTGTTAGGAGGACACACTGTATTCTCTTGATTTCACCCTACAAGAGACACATAGGTTTCACATTTCAACTTTATTGCCACAGTGCCAGCAGCCATTAACCTATTTGAAGGTGAAAAATAACTTAGGGGGCTTCTACACAATACCATAACAGAAAAATACTGTTATATTTATATCTATCTATGAATTAGGCAATCGTAACATCATTACATGGGAAACAGAAAAGGGATTCAATGTTTTTGTATGCATGTTCAGAATAACATGCAGCATTAGAAACTACTGGAACATTAAGTAGTAAATGTTACCCACATCCATCAGCTTGTCATCTGCCTCAGAAATATAAGAAGACATGTTTTCCCTCCACTGGGGATAAAAATAACAGTTATTTATATATATTTATATAATATATATTTATATAATATATAATTTATATCAGTCCCTTTGCATTCTGAAGGACAAGCAACATTGCAGCATAAAGCCACCCTAAAATATTACATTTTGTGGTCCTCTTGTTTTTTTTCCTTCTAAAAATATCCTTTAAGGTACACTGAACTACACAAAAACCTGACTTTAACATACAAATTCTAATACAAAAACTAAACAGTTGCTGAGTAACACTGTTTAAAGGCAAGGATACAAAGCCATTTAGAGTCAAAGAAACAGACAGATGAAGTAACCACAGGCAACCACTGGGTTTCAGTCAACATTACCTGCTTCTCTCGCAGCTTTACAAAGACAGTAGGACAACAGAGTAGCTCTTAATTGCTGGGCTGCTTTCCCCGCAGCCACTGCAGGAGTGTGCTCTGAAGCGCATTGCCAACATACTCACAGCAGAAGCAATAATAAAACCCGTCAGCTGCGGCACGATCACAAAGTGGGCACCACACACCGTGTCCCTTACGTAAGGGAGCGGATTTTGTAACAGCAGCAGGCACCCGGTCAAGGGAGCACCTACCAACAAAGAAACCAACTCCAGAGTACTTTTTACAAATCTAAGGTAGCAGCATGATAAGGTAGCAACCACTCACTGTCAATGCAAAAGTAACTGAAGAGCAAAAGGGTCATTCTTCAGATTCAAAGGGCCCATGGCAGGAAGGCTGGAACTGGATGATCTTCCAGCCCAAACCATTCTGTGATTCCAAGCACAGAGGGCATTTGCAAAGGGGCAAGGGTGCATTTGGGGCAGGGATATATAAATTTTTGCTCGCATTGGAACACAGAACTGTAACAAGGTACAACTCCCTCCCCCCCAAAAGTCCTAGCACACTTCACCTCCTAAGGCAACTGTTAATGTGCATAAATACACACATAATACTCGCCCTTAGCACAGACAAGATGTACAGTCACTCAACAGGTCACAAACCATTCCTGCCACAGGAAAATACTGGTATCTTTAAGACTTCTCTTAATTGGGCTGTAATGAATTCAGGACAGAGCTGTTAGCAAAGTTAGACTTCAACCTCAATTGAGGTTTCTAAGTGCCACTGCAAAATAATAAACAGTTGTACAAAAATACTTCAGAAGACTAAAGGTCTCTATGCTTTATCACAGCTGGCAGAAGAAACTGGTAATATCTCCTCTCCACTTAGAAACCACCAAACAAATCACCAAGACCTGACTTACACTGTTGAAGCAAAATTCAGTTATATGAGTGACTTACAAGACTACTGTAAACTGCTCAGACTCAGAATTTGCTTAAAATATGGTAATATTTTCCAAAAGTAATATCAAAATTTCTGCCCAGTATGCACTGTAAGTATTAGACTCTGCTACTATTAAGGCCAAATCCTAGACAGCTCAGTTCAGCTCTTCATCCTTCAGTTTCCTTCATCATTAAGTTTCCTATGAAACTTAATTGTATGGACCTGGACTTTCAAACAATGAAACAATGAGAAATGAAGTCAGAAGGTCAAATGAGAAGATGAAAAACAGCAAGGACTAAAAGGTAATGTAAGAACACAGGTATGACTAGCAACTTACGTGCTTTTCCCCCTTGACCCACAGGAGCTATAAAAAAATTCTACAATCACTGAGGAAGAGAGGTGGGTAGGTGGGGAAGTCTGAGCCTAACACACATTGTTTCTCTTACAAACTAATTTGACATGAGTTCTACAACCAGTGGATACCTCTTAATGTCACTTTTGCAAATAGATTGTGTCTTTGGACATGGTCACGTAACTCCAAAACTAGAAACTTGACATTTACTTCAGAACATAAATAATCACTGTACATCAGATTACAGACCGACAAATACATAACAAATAGAGATAATTTATTATTTTATCAAAAATTCATCACAATATTTATAAAGCTTAAGTCACAAAACCCATACATAGCCCCTCTTTTTCAAGACTTTTCTTTAAGACGTTTTCTTTTTTATTCTTCTCTTACTCTGCGATTTCTTTTTTCCCTCAAACACAGGTTTGGCAGTCACCAAGATTATTTTTCCCAATTCTTCATCCTCACCACTTGAACTACTGCACCTCTTTTTCTCTTTAGAGTCTGCTGACTCCATTGCAGAGACCTTTTTCCTCCTTTTGCTCCTGCCCAAATCTCTGCTTTCTGATTCCTCTATCGAGGAGTCACTAGAAGTTTCTGAAAGATGCAAATTCCCTATAAAACCACCTCCATAGACATGTTCTTTTCTGGAATCTGAAAGCTTTCTTCTCTTTCCATTTTGGACTTCGGTGGCCATAACTTGATGATCTGTACAGCCTGCAGCATCTTCCCCTTTCCTTTCTTCATGCGCTTTTTCAATCTCCTGAACATCATCAGCTGCTTCTTTTTCCCTCCTCTTCAGGCAAGTCACAGCTCTGCGCAGTCTCTGACTTTTAATAGCTATTTTTTCCTGCTGTTCTAGCCTGAAGAATGAATCAATTCGAAGCTGAGTCTGTCAAAAATAAAACAGAGAAACACCTTTGGAGGTTTTTGTGATAGGAATTCAGTTAACTATATTATAATGCATACTAAGACAAAGGACTAACAAGATTAATACAAATAGATGTGAACAATAAGACACAATATTACAGACATACCTATACTTTATTATAAGTTCTGCAACAAGAACCTTTACAGAAACTAAATAAACAGCAAACTCTGGTGAAATTTCATAAACATCGTCCTTGATGATTAGATATGTTGCTATTTTCAACCTTAATACAGAGAATCTCTGTAGTGCTCTTAAGTATGTCCTTACCAACACATCGTTAGCTTCAAGCTGTTAGAACTACAGAATGCGTATTAAGCAAATGTTACAAGTGCACTTTACATTCCATATGCTAGTGCAACAAAAAGCCCTTATCTGACTCAAGTTCATTGTAACATATGTTGCTACAGTGTAAAGATTTAAGAGCAGAACTAGAAGGGCTCATACACAAAGGGTCCGTGTGACTCAATCACAGCTAGGCTTGCTATATAAACTAAGATAGCTCTCTATATTCTCCCTAAAATTGTATAAAAGAACCAGTGCTTCCAAAGGTTGCTCCAGTCAACCTGAAAGTAAATGACTTTAATTATGGGGTTTGGTACCTTTCACTCCTTTGAGCAACAGAGAAAACCTAGAAGACTAGTTTAGACTAAGGATCCATCTTGCTCATGGCGAAAGGAGAAAAGAATCCAACCTTCGGCGATCAGTTTTAGCACTGACTTTCACAGTACAGCAGCATGCACCACTATTCACTTTTAAGTTTTATTAAAGTTAACAGAACATTAATAATATTACTCTGATTACCATATAAATGTTGCTCAGCAGTTCAGTCTGCGCCCCTCCTCAAAGAATGGGGATGATACCAAATGGTCAGTCTCCATTCACCAAAATCTTAAAGGTATTTTTATAAATCATTTTTAGAGACAGCATATTGTCTTTTAAAAGTACCAGAGGTGCTTGAAGTACTTGCGATTTCAGCTACATCCAGAACAAACAGCAACATCAAGCTGAATAGGTGCTTGATAAGTAACAAAATTTGAAAACAGCAATTGAAATTACATAGAGTTCCTTAAAGGACACCAAAATCATATGGAAATGAAGTCCAGAGAAGTAAGTTTAATAAATTTTAAATATAATATGAATATTTAAAAAAAAATGGCCAAACCCCAGTTTCTGAGAAATTTATTTTAGATTAAAACCTTGCTGTTCATTTTAAAACAGCTCTTACACTTTTCTAGTTACCCTTAAACTACACACAGTTCTATGTTTTACCTGCTGCAAGTTCAGCTGTTTCATCACAGGCAAAAGGATTTCATCTGTCTTCACCCTGGTCCAGCCAAAGCGATTCTGACAGAACATGCAAAAAGTTAAGGACCTTTGCACAGTGGCTGTTACTAGTATTGTACAAACATAAAATAAAGATCTCTCAAATAAAAACTGTCTAGAAGAAAGCTACTCTACTTCAAAGCTTTTTTTACTAAGAAACCAGAGAAAATACTCTTAAGTTACTACAGCTGACTTATGCAGATGCTTCCAGTATTACATTACATATCCTAATCGTGCTGCTACATGTCTATTAGTTACAGATTTTTGTTCTCTAATATCAACATTTCCAAGAGTGTGTCTCAATGAGGACAGAACTCATTTTGGCTATACAGCATTGTCATATGACAAAGCAAGTCTTATTTTTACACTTGCACACACTGGAAGTTTCATTTGCTGTTCAAAATACCATTAGCTCTGCATGCATTGTCATGTACTTTTTAACAATTTTCTGCAGCTCAAGCTGCAATGGATGCAAGAAATACACTGCAAGAAATGCAGTAAGTAATGCAGCTTAAGTCACCATTTCTGCTGACTACACTTTGAAACATATTCGCGGAAGATGGCAGAGTAGCACACTCCTGACAGCTATGAGATTCTCTTTACATGCAATGTGAAACAGCTTACTCTCTTAGGAGAGCAAAGCCACCTCGTGTGCCACACATGCATGGCTGCATGCCCTTCAGTTCCAGGGCTGGTACCATTGTAGGATATCACAAGCATATGGAGCTAAGGGCCCCTCATACCAATGAGACGTTAAAAACTGGACACACCGTTACTGACTCACAAGCCTTATGAACTTTAATCTGAGCACTCTTCGCTGACAAATCCTGCTATACAGTAAAAGGATATTCTCTGATTTGTTCTACATCAGGCTTCCCCCAGATGAACGAACCCCTTGTCTCATCCACCATAGGATTCAGGTATGCTTCTGCCACTGCTGGATTTGGGAAACCTGAGGAAAGCTGCAGGTCCCGCAACTTCTTCTTGACTTTGGTGTCACGTGGATTAGGTCTCAATTTCTTATTCTTCTGAGCCTCATTCCACCACTCACTGAAAAACAGAGGAAAGTATTCCATAAGGTATAATTTGGAATATCAAGAGCCACCATGCTAATTTCAATAGCCCTAGTCTCCCTACTTCAGTTACTACATAAAGTGAGTAGAAAATTCCCAAATGGCAAAACGGACATATAACCTGAAAGCAGAAAAGACAGAACATACACAGTAAACGCAGCTGTTGTAAGCCACAGTAGCAAACATCATCTGGATTCCCCATAAACTGCTAAACAGAAGGCCCTAAATTTAGCCACACACAGGAAGGATGTTCCACATACAATGATAATTTTAAAAGGTTTTTTTTGTATGCAAAAGAAAATAAAAACTAAAAGTATTTCTAATCATTCTTGCCATTGCCAATACAACTGGCTTAGGCCCTCTACAAATCTTGCTCTTCCCCACAGCCTACCTGTCTGTCTCCTTCCAGGTCATCCATTCCTCACTCATCAAGTCTCTTTTCTCTATGAGCAAGCTACAGCACCTTCTCACAAACACAGGGAGAATACACCTCCACTCCACTATGGATCCAACTCCGCAATGAATTCAGAGGCAGTCGCACAGTTCTACAGCTGTTCTATTGTCTTCTTTAGTCTCACTGTAATAGCTGTATCAGTATGTCCCCTTATTTACCTGCCATTTCAAATAGTGACATAATGGAGTCACATATTTTACAGTTAACTTAGTCTCCTTAATGATGTTTGTATACTTAAGCAGCATAAAAGTATATTCACTAATATTATAGAAAGACAAAAAAGCAAAATACGATGAAGCATACGCAAATCTCAAGAGAGGTTCCAAACCATGCCCAGGAAATTCATTCAAAATCTCCATCGCTGTTACAAAGCCAACATTTGGGATACCCTCAGTGTAGTCACTTCCAAGCAAGTATGCCAAATTAATCAGCTTGCTTCGATCCAACCCTGTAACAGAAAGTGCATAAACCAATTAAAACCAGTGGATCCAGCATACATTCCCTTACAAAATTAAAAAATATGTTATCTGAAAGGCAAAACCCGAAAGGAACTCGAAGATATTAACTCTGTAAAAGTACATTTAATTCAATGTCAGAATTTGCTAAATGGTATTCTCGAGCACCTTAGCTCAAGCACAGGTAGTTGTGCTAACTCAACAAATACATCTTTGCCAAAATTAAATGTTACAATGTAGAGACCATCCACAAACATTAAGAGCTAAGAGATACTATTTTACATATGTTTCTCTAGTTTCTCTCCGGTTCCCATCTAATGCTGACCTGCAATCAGTAACACCTGCATCTGAAATAAAAAAAGCATTCAATTTGAATTCTAGCCCATAATATCAATGCCTCTATTTCTTAAAAGTGTTCCCAAACTGGAAGCCTTTGCTAGTGCAGTTATTAAGTAGACAAAAAGAGCCCATGAAATAGCCAGAAAGGAGGAATAACTCAGCTGACCACTTGTACTTAGTATGCTGCAAGATCTGAGGCAATCAGGCTGATTTTCAGTGACTAGCTTCAGGAGTTTAGATTAAAGAACAACATAAATAAATAAATAAAATCAGTTGATAAAAGAAGGGATGCATGTCTAAGCACACAAAGCAAAACTATTGGCATGCTACTCAGGATATCCATCAACTGTGGTGAAAGAAGAACTGTGCAATGCATGTAAAAGGAGTAAAAAGCACAAGACCAGAAGAATGTTACATGAAGAAGACCGATGGTGACTATTTTTCCCCCATAAATAAATAATAGCTCTGGTTTACTACATTAATAACAGAAAAAAAAAAAAAAAATCAAAAAAAAAAATCACACATTCCCACAGCAAATCTTCCAAGTAAGCTATGGTAGCACACCTAAGTAGGGCAAAGAAATCATTTCATGCAGTTTGCTGGGAGAAGAAACCAAAGACATTTTTCACCACATAAAAATGTTGTGGAATTTTACATGCTGAAGGCATTAAAATATTATTTCAAAGTCTATAGCCTCTCTCAACTTTGAAAACATCAAAACTGATTTTAAGAGTTCTGCTTAAACAAGGCATAAGAAGTTAAAACTAGCTCATATTTTCTTTAATACACTATGTGACACTAAAGTTTTGTAGTTCATAATTAGCAACAATTTGATTAGACTAGTACAAGAGTAATCTGAAAGAAAAAAAAAGCTGTCAGCGTAACTAAATGAAAAACCTTTTACAGAGCATATATGTATGCCAGACCCTCTCCTAAAACATTATGTGTCAGTATGTTCAAAATTAACTTTCATTTCCAGAAACCTATAAATCTGATGACATCAGAATATAATTTTCTCACCACATCAGAAAAGCCATGCTGACATCTACCCAGAAACAGGTACCAGGGTTCATACCTCCAGTCTTGATGTTCATCACACTAACTCAGTGTATTAAATGCAGGCGCCTTAAAATTCAGGGGGGTCATACGGCAATAAAACCAACTGAACGCCTTTACAGGCTCTCCAAAGAGCAGGCATTGTAGTAATAGACACACAAAATTCTGTGGAAATTACAACTTCAAAAAGATAGATGGCAGTGCTGTCTTAAAGACTGTATTTAACGAATCAATACCTGAGGCTTACCTAGCTGGTTTTGAAAATCAACATACTGGTAATACTCCACATATTGGTTTTGGCTGAAGAAATTTTTATAAACATGTCGTGCACCAAATAACCAAACATCGCTATCATCTGTAATTGTCCCAGAGGTCTGATCAGTAAGGTCCAATACAGCACACTGCGCCTCTGCCTCCATTGGAGCTTCAATATACGGAATGCCAAACAGACGGAGAAGCTCCTGTAGGATAGAGAGAAAACAGTTAATATTGCATCTGAAGAACGAACTTCTGTTATACTTCTGCTTTACTCAGAACTGCTAGATTCACACTTAGGGTGTATTAAACATTTCAAAATAAATCTTAATTTCTGCTGAGAAGTGCCAAGCACAGTAAAGAGATTGGAAAGTCACACACATCTCAGGCAGATAGTGCCACGTGAGTCAAGCGCTACTTGACCATACTATTACTGCACAGTCTGAGAGCCTGCTACTTTATTTGCACAAGCATACTTAAGTATTGTGCTTTGCACATCATGGACAAAAGACCATGTGTTACAATTGTGTGGCCTCCATAAAAAAAAAAAAAAAGATGCACATTAAATAAAGTCATCACTTCAGAGAATAGTATGAAAGCCTATTAGAAACATTCATATCAAGCAGGAAACAGTGGGCAGACTAATCACCCTTTGGATGGCATTTTGATATACATGTATTTAATGCATCTTAGACAATTTGGTTTTATGGAATATATTATTTAACTTCAGTTTGCTTTCACACACACACACACACACACACACACACACACTAGTTTTACAGGCTTGGGTTAGAGACACAATTCTGGATTAAGTCGTCTCCAGAAATTCCATTTACTCTCCTGCTCCAAAGTTGGACGTAACAATCACTGCAAAACCTAAGCTATAAAATTAATGACATATTTGATATGTATACATATATCTGCACATAAACACCCTTTCTTTTCTCCTCACTGCAGCTGGCTTTTGTGCCCTGATAAAGTCCATCTCAAGACTTAAAACTTTTACTGAAATAAAGAGCAAAAGCACAAGGTCAAGAGACTCACAACTATAATGGTTTATCTACCATTATAGGGCACATAGTATTACAAAAGCATTGGCCTTTAAAAAAACAAATTATCTGAAGAAACAAGTATGAGCAAGTATTTAACAAAGGAACAAAAAATTTCAAGCATTTTAAACTAAAATAAAAGCATTTCTATATTTCTTATAATTAATTTACTATGTGATAGATACTATGACTAGGCTATTTTATTATGGATTAACCTTAACACAATGTCATAAGTAGACCTCGCATTAGACTGTATCAACCTTTAAATGCATCTATTAAAGCAGAGGTTACAGGCTTATGCAGGTATTACTGGTGAGATTCATTAAGATCAGTTACCAGGGCATAAACCTGGGTTACCACACAGATTTCTTGTAAGATTTCATTTTTTAATCCACAAGAGAAATTACAATCTAGCTAACATCCAGATTATTCCAATTCCATACTAGAATATCATTATTCTATAATGTTATAGGTTAGAATTCAGTATTGCCTCAATACATGGAATGTTTTAAATCAAGCAGACTAAAGAAAACAAGCTCCTAAGAGGAAAAAAAGGTGACCTGTAATTAAACAAAATTACTAATAGCTTTTGAGAAAACATTTGACTGGAGTTAACAGCATACTGTATCAAACCAAAATGATTCAACAAATACTACCTGGCTTTCCAAGCACATCTGTCCTGTTACAGAGGCGGCAACACGTTCCTGCTTCTCTTTCTGAGCCTGAAGCTTATTCTGCTCAGCAGAAAGGTCATTTTCTAATTCTTCTAGCTCTTCCTGAAAAACAAAACAAGATTTTCATTATTTCAACAATTCAGGTATGTTTAATTAAGTAAATCACGAAGTCTCCCACTATAGTTATTCTAGTAGCATGTGCTCCATTACTTGGAAGTTGACATGGCCTCTCTGACACAGTAAATTATAAAATCAGAGATAGGTCTACCCAGACTGCTAAACCCTTAAAGTTTCCCTCTGAATTCAGGGAGATTATGATTAACCATCATCTTTAAAGAAAGATAAGGTCCTATAGAACTATAGGCATGTATGAGAAAGCAACAAAACAGTAAGAAGTTGTCCAATAGTCTTCCTTAAGAACTACTTGGGGACACAGTACTATCTCAAAACAAGTAACAAGGCGTTACCATACTGATGTCTTGCCACTTATCCTCTCCATCTTTATCATCATCTCCTCTTTCAACACTCTGATTGTTTGCCAGCTGCACTTCAGACTCTTTCAGCAAGTCCTGTGTGACAGTATCATGTCTGTCTGTCTCCACTTCTGGAAGTGCTGTTTCATCACCCAGTTCTTCATGACATTTAGCAGGAAACTCAGCCTCATTACTGATTTCAGTTTCCACTTCAATAAAACTTCCTATGAAAGGAAAATAAAGAATTCAACTTCCCACTGCTTGTCCAAAAAAAAAAAAGTATTCATAAGCATAAGTGATTTTTATTCTATATGCAGTAAATATATACAAGGATTGCGAGATTACAGAAACCTAGTGGTTGATCATTCCTACACCAGCTAAGTTCAATGCACACAAGAACATGCTTTCCTGACTCTCTGTATTGTACACTCAGGTTTCAATGATAAAACACAATACCAAGGGGAAAAAAACAACTCAGATTTTCTTCCTACCTCCTACATACATGCAAATAGAAGTATTTTAAAGCATTTCTTACCAGGAGAAAAGGTTAACTTCAACTGACTACTAATACAGTAAGGTCCCATTTTCTTATGTTTTTATCCAATTAAAAAGCACATACCATCAGAATCACTGTCTTCAGACAGTGATATCTCTTCTTTTTCCTCCTCAGGACTTTTTGTTTCTGGGAAAAATGTAATATCCTTTCGTACTTCAGGTACATTCTCTTCTGTTTGCAACACTTCTTCCTCTACATTTAGAGAAATTTTCAAGTTTTCCTCATTTTCACAAAGGCCTGCTGTTTCAGCATGAATCAAAGACTCTATACTAGTTTGTACAGGAAAACAGTTTGGCTTCTGCATGCACAAGTTTATATTCTTATCTCCCAAACAATTTAACTCTATTTTGGAACTATCATCTTCTTTATCTAAGTCTTCTTTGCCTTTTTTAGTATTGTCAATACAAGAATAGTTTTCAAGTGTGGATATAATAGTGTCTTTGGTTGTAATATGATTTTTGTCCAGCTCCTGACTCTTTTGTTCAAATTCAGCATCTTGCATAACCACCTGGTTTGACAAATTAATTGAAGATGTAGGTATTCTTCTCTCCTTAACTTCAGGAACCTGGTCTTCCTCATCTGAGCTACTAAGCAGCAAATCCTTCACTTCTGATCTTTCTGGTAGCACTCTATCAGTTCTAACAGTAACAACTTCCTCTCTTGTATCATCATCACCATCATCACTCAGAGCTCGATGAATTGCATGCAGTGTTCTTGGAGACACACTGCCTTCCTCTGTTACAGACAGGTCTATGTTCAGTTGTCCTGTATCTTCATCCCCCAGTTCTTCTTCTGAGCTGCTTTCTAGCATAGCAGCCTGGATGGCAAGCAAAGTCCGAGGAGAGGGTGGTGCAGTCACCACATTATCTTTCTCTGTCTGCAGTTTCTCAGTTTCAACTAGCTTTGCATTAGCAGGAGATTCAGCAAATTCTTTCAATTTAGTAAGTTCAGGCATTTTTGATGAGGGCCCTGCAATAGCTTCCAAATCTTGACCTGTAGCTTCTTTTGCTCTAATGCCTAAAAGAAAGGGGTTTTGTTGAATATTTTTTTAGTAAAAAAAATGCTTTATACTAACATTACATTTTATAGAATGAACATCATTGTATAAAGATTAATAGACCAGTTTTCTACACACTTACAGATCATAGTTAATTGTGCCTAACAGTAAGGTACCAATTTCATACAATTTCAAACAATAATCAGGGTTTGGGATTTTTTTTAAACAGAGCTGTAGACTGCAGATACCAAACAAGAGGTTTTACAAAATTAAGACCCAACGTACCCTTTATTAGGATGTAGTGAGAAGTATCCTCCGAGACTACCTTTCTATATTCCACTTCTTTCACAAAACCACCTTCATTTTCATATTGTGTTTGGATTTCACCAGTGTGCTGTTGATTCAGTTCTTTCTGTACATTTTCTATGCACCGACTGAGGCTGCTTTTCTTAAGCAAACCTCTAAGCTGGTACTGGGAAAAGGCATTGGATTCCTTAAAACAAAGAAATAAACAAGTCAATTTAAATAAAATTCCATGTAGCTGCACCTTTTAAGAAGGTTTATCTCCCACGCTCTGGAGAGGTAACAGGTTTAAGCAGGTAACATTTGTCTTTTAGTGACTGCTGCACTCCTGGATACTTTAGGATAGGGTTTTGAATAGACAAACATGAAGTCTCTGTTAAGAGTCATTATCTCATTGGGGCTTTTTCCTCTCAATGTAACATCTCCTATTAAACAGGCCTGGGGGTAAAACTTTCCAGATGGGATACTCTTATGTAATATTCATCTGCATTAATGGCAATAGCTCCATTCTGACGGCTTAAAAACCATTTTAAATATTACCTCTGGCATTGCTTCAAAAAATGTTCTTTTTCGTTTTGTAAATTCTTTCATCTCAGTCAAGATCTCATATTTTACTTCAGGAGGCAGGTTCTTGAAATCTTCTGATTCAATATCTACAGACTGAGGATTTTCACATAATGCTTCCTATAAAAATGGAAAACAACATAAACATCTATTTTATATTACAGCACAGCAAGAATAAAATATTTAGAGCATCATTTCAAACAACAACCACCCACACCCAAAACCTTTCTTGCTACTGTGAAGAAAACAGTTAAGGAAAAAAAAAACCAAACATCAACCAAACAAAAAGTAACAAAAAAAAAAAACAAAACAAACAAACCAATCCCACAAAAAAAAGCCAAAACCAAACCAAACCAAATGAGATAACTACCTAATAAAATAAAATGCATAATTGTTGATGTACTCTATACAGAGAAACTTGAGTTTATTCTTTTTTACAAAAAGATAAGTCTAAATCACAGAAGGTCCTACAGCCTCAGGTAATCTGATTTTATCCTTCCAAGGAGGTTCTCCTTAATATGAACTACTTCAAAGATAAACAGTATTTCCAAGTTTCAAGAGTTTTTGTTGGGGATTTTCTTGTTCATTTGCTTTCTTTGATGAAAACAGAGATAATTTTATTATCTACTGTGCCATCTTCTTAGATTACATATTTCTCTTCTCATGAGATCAGCACATCAGAGGGAAATACAGAATTTATTTGTGAAAACTCAAGGACTGGGGTGCTTCAGTATCAGTTCTTATTTGGAGAAGAACAGGAATTTTGTTAAATATGCTGTCTTATGTGTGCAAACACGTGCACAAATGCATACATTTCACTTATATCATACACGAAACAATCTCTTCTCCACATATCCAAAGAAAGTAGTCAGAAAAGAAAGATACCATACAAAATTCCTATTCTGCTGTATTTCTGCTGTGGAGAAAAATACATAAATACATTTGTACTTCCTTATTAGCAGGAATACACAGAATACTGAAAATTGACTTATTTGCTTGATAACTAACTTATTTGCTTGATAACTAACACTATAGTAGGACCCATACCTCCCCAGACACTTCCGTTCTTTTTCTAATCTTTTTGTTTGTCTTTTAGGCATAGCACATGAATGAGAGGATTATTCACAGTAATAGTTCAATTAGGATGCACTTACATGCAACATCTTTCTTTGATTCATTCTTATTTCCCATTCTTTTTCATCTTCCTCCTCTGAGCTAAAAATCACAATGAGAAAAAAGAAAAAAAAATTATAGATAATTACCTAGGAAAATAAAGTTCTTATTTTAAGCAAAAGGACCTTAGTCATCACTTCACCAAGTACAAAAATTTGCATACAAATATACATACACATATACATACACACACTCATGTGCACACATATAAATGCATACACAAGCCAAAAAGATCTGAACAGAAAGCAAGACTTTTGTCAGTTAAAACTAGATTGAGACAACTGTTACTGTTTAAGTCTACCTCATTCTTATTTGGTCAGAGCTTAAAGTATATATGAGATATGCAAAGAGTAATCCTCCACATTCCCACCTAATATCACTTAAGGTGTCATAAGTTTGACAAGTTCATACAAAGCCTACTTCTGCTGAACATGTCTGCACTACTAAATGAAGGGAATAAAGCTGCCACACACCCCAGCTACTCAAGCTTGAACAGTCCATTCCATTTAGTCACACAGACTGAGGCAGCACTTTCATCCTTAAACATTAATCCAATTTAAAATTTAACCTGTGGACTCTAAGGTGCTTGTTATTTTTGCATAAATAACTAGAAGGCCTGGGTACCCACACCTATAAACTAAACTCTCCAAAAGAAACTGACATAAAACAAAGATATACCTTATAGATAATGGAGCCTCATGGGTCACAGGTCTTCCAGCAGCATCAAAAAAATGTGGTTTGTATTTTTATCAGTTTATTATTGCCATTTAAGTTAATTCTACCTACCTGTTCTTCTCTTCTTCTTGTAAAGGCGGCAATACATATATGTCATCAATTTCTTCTCTTCGAACTTCTGTAATACTGGGAAAGGCTTCATGGCTTAGGGAAAGAAAAAAACTCCAGTGATTAACAGCTACACAAAAATTTCCCTGACACTTACAAACAAGGGTAAAATACTTTTTATTCTTGCCTCTTGCCCTTAAGAGCATTTTTGATAACTTGTCTCTTCAGAAATGTTTTCAAGAGTTTCTCTGCAGTTTTCCTGGAATCATGGCTGGCGATTTCCTTTCTTCGTCTTCGCTGAGCCTGTGAAAATATGATAAACGCCAACAGGATTTTGTTGGATGCTGAAGATACAAATCTGGCAAATTACTGTTATAATTCTGTGTGCTGAGCCTATGAGCAACCCCTAACTCATCCTACGTCAGTGGGGACATAATCTTCAGGTCCTCCAGATCTCTCTATGTTGATTTCCTCTGTTGGGACCCAGGAACAGTTTTCAGCTTTTGGGTACCAACGCTTGTAAGTACAGTGTTCAAGTTCATTCTAAAGCTAGACCATCACCTACACCACGGCTTATACCATCATCTATATCTCTACAACCCAGTTTCTACACAAATCAAACCTGAATATATCAAAAGGGAGGTGCTGCATGCTCCAACAGGTGTACCAAAGAGTGAGACTGCAAAGAACATCTGCACAGCAGTGCACTTCAAGCCCCCCATCCTCACAGTGCATAAGAGGAATAACAAGGAAATTGAAAATGGCTACTTAGCATTAACAAACATACACCCTATTTTGCACTACAATGACACAGGTAAGGCACTTACCAAGGTTTGCCTCTTCAGAAGTGGGGCCCCTCCATCAAAAACAAAGACGGGTCGAATCCGGAAAAACAGTAGCTTGCAAAGTCGACGAAACAGAGTGAGGAGGTGAGCATTTTGTACGGAATAACCACTGCGATCTCTGGCTCCCTTTATTGCTTGGTTTAACCAAATACTGATATCTTGAAAGAATCGTTAAGAAGAAAAAAATGTGCCACCTTATGCATATACCATATTAATAGTTTCTATAAAGTGCACGTATTTGACTAATAGGGCTTTGCCTACTATTCCAGGCTTGATTACTGAAACCAAGACTACCCAAATACTTGCAAACTTAAGAAAAAATTCTTGCCCCTATTGCCCTGGACAAAAACGAGAGCTGAAATAACTGTGCAGCAAGTAGTACCTCCCCAGGTACTCTTACAAATAAACAAAGGGTAATTTCTTTCCACATCTTTCCAGTATTGAACCAAGTATATATGATGAGAAAGGTGGTACAGTAAGTGTTTACATTTTTTCATCTTATAATCCTACTGAGAGCAGCACGTTAATTGATAAAGCACAAAATCCTACAGCCCAACACTTGTGTAAGGAACCTAGTAAAAGACCCCTTTTTAAAAAAAAAAGAAGAAAAAAAAGCTTAGTGTTCCACATATAATAGGGTATAAGATCTATTTATCAACATATGGTCATGTTTTAAAACAGAAATAAGCACATAAATAAGATAATGAGGCAGAAATAAGAGCAATAATTAAAACACTCTCCTTCGCAAATCCGGTTCCTCAGCTTACTCAAAGGATACCAACGGCAAGAATTTTTCCTTCTAGAACTTCAGGGTTTATCGGTCTCCCAGCGCATTCAAGCAGCTTCCAAAGTCCTTGAACTCCCATTGCCCTCTCTTAGCTACTCAGAGAGACTCTAGGAGGAACGAAAGGAATAACCCAAAGGTTATACGCTCCACGTACACCTTATTATGCGAACGCGTTACTACCACAACCACAGGCAAGGCGGCAGACTGGGGAGAGGAAGCCCGCCCGGGAGCCCCTCCAGCCGGTTCCGAAAGCCTCCCTCAGCCGGCGGTACGCCAAAAGCCTGTAGAACTGCGCTCAAGCGCGGCGTTACAGCTGCTGCGGGCCGGCCGTCAGACCTCCGTGGCCCAGGGACACACTGAGTCGCACCGCGGCGAGGCGGACCACGAAGGGAGGCAGAGGTGCCGGGCCCGGCCCGGCCCGAGGGAGGGCGGAAGAGTACCGGTCACAGCACGGCTGCGCTCACCTGAGGGCGGTGTCAACCGCCAAGCCCAAAGCCAAACACGTCACCAGCGGCCTAGGGCCTTGAAGTCCCTCGCAGACCCGCCCGCGGCCTGCGCATGCACCACCCCGCCCCGGCCCGCCTCGCCCCGCCCCGCTGAAGCATGCGCCACGATGGACTGCGGTGTGGGGCTGTGGAGGGCTTGCTTCTTGGCCGGGCTACGGGACGGGACGGTTCCAGCATCATTCCCAGCGGCTCTAGCGGCCGTAGGTGAGCGACTCCCGCCGCCCTTGCAGATGGACCCCACGGCTGCAGCCGCCTGTGGGGAAGCCCAGAAGGGGAAACCGAGGTGGTGCGGCAGCGCCTGAGGCGGGCTGGCTCCACGCCTGCCCACGGGAAGGGTGAAATGCCACACACCACCTCGCCCACGTAGTATTTTTGTGTCTCTGAACATGGTTTTCCCTCGGCCTGTGCTCTCTCCTACACATTCCCCCTGCACCCCCGCCCCAAACGGCTCCCACCGGGAATCCCTAGGAAAGCTCCCAGCTACTGGTCCCCAGGGACCTGCATCTTGGCAATGCCGGAAGGATGGAATATCCTATGCACTTCATTGAAGTGTACCCAGAAGCAAAATAAAGTAACAGGCTACTGTCAGAGGGGAGTTCCTCAGCGCAACTGATTATTAAGCAAAACTTGAGACTTTTGTGTAACTCACGTAAGCCTGAAGTCCCCTAAAGAACACAACTACAGTATTCTAAAGAAATCTGAGGCCTCAGCCCAAATTCACCTTGTAGAAATAAAGTCTGAAAATAGCTCATCTGGAAAATAAATTTTCAAAAGCCATGGGTTTTGCTCAGTCATCAGCCTGCACACTTTAGGAAATTAAGTATTAGAAGTCACAGTGGCTGCACAGGCTTATCAGCAAAGACATCTTGCCTTCAGGACTACTTTTTGCTGAGCAGGAGTTTCAGTCCTGATCCTTCACTTACCCACTTTCCCAAAAACCTCCACTAAACGTTAGGTCTCCATTCCCAAGGCAAATGATAAGCAAACAACAAAGTAGAAAACAAATTTTATTGAATGAACAAAAGTGTCCCTTTTTTTCTTTTGGTTAACAAAAGCAGTGACCTACAAAACCCCTGCATTCCATGACAAATCTTTTTATGTCAAAAAATTAATCCTTGAGCAGGTATGAACGTCTGTACACAGAAAGTTGCAACCACTGAGATGTGTTTGGGAAAACGATTGGATAAATTTCAAATTAGGGAAAAAGAAAAAGGAGACTGCAGAGGGACACCTGAAAAAACTTGAGCAACTTTGCTGGCCAAGAGTTATGTCATCAGGGCTGCAAGCAGCTTTCAGCACTTGCATCCCCTTCACACAAAAATTAAAAGAGCGGCAGAAAAATGACAGAGGTTTCAAGAATGAACAAGGAAAAGAACTGCCAACAGAATGCAGTGTTCAGCTAGCTCATTTGGCTAATGGCAAACGCAGCTTTTTAACACTGCATTCTGTAAGCTTGTGTTAAGTGAGTCTGAGTTCTAAAGAGGCTCCAGGGTAAGAATTCAGTCACTGTACCCACAGAGCACAAGCAGTATAGAAGGTCCATCCTCAAACATTCCCCACCACAGGCGATTCATCTCAGTCTGAAACAGGTATCCAGCTAAGGGAAAAGAAACTGAGAGCTGCCTGACGAAATATGATTATCTGACTGACAGAAATCCACTGGGCACTAAATAGAGAATGTACATTCACTGTGTAAATCTGACAAGGTTTTCTAACCTGTATGATTTTTTTTTTCCTTTTCACTGGATATGGGCAGCCTCAATAAAATGGAGTGTTCGAAAGGAAGGCAATGTTTGCTTTTACCTTTACATAACTTGCAGAACAATCCTTTTTATAAAGTCATATCATAAATTTCCATGCTTTTGCATACTAAGTATTTTCAATGAAGCCTGCTTATAACATTGATTAATTTCAATCTGCTCTTTTGCTTTCACAGATGAGGACATAATACAATTATTTCAAAAGAAATGATTGATTTTGCAGTCATATTTAGTTTTGATTGCAAAAGTACAATAACCTGTGCTTATCTGTCAGCTTATACGTCAGATCTCATCCACTGCAATCCTATAATTAGATTTATTTAATAATTATGAAGATGTATCTTGTACCATAACTTCTATTCATACTTATTCTAGGACTAGTAGATGCCTAATATGTCTTGATTAAAACTAACTTTAATATATCAACTCTATTAACTAAAGTTAATTTTAATCATTTCCATCATAGTCATTGTAACTCTGATACCCACTATTCCTCCTCTCACGAAAATTAGATTTCTTCCATGTAGATTCTTGATGAAAGCTAGCACTGAATGATCGACCCAGTCGTCCATGTTGTTTCTTAGAGATATTGTCTTCACTCTCAGATTTGGAAATTCCTTGTCCTGGTGTTTGGGATTGTTTATCCTGTCTAACATTTCCAAATGGAAAATTCCAAGGACCAAATCTTTGCCAGCTAAGTCTCTGAAAGGCAATGATGCAATGAAGATTTCCTCCGACCTAACCAAAGTAAAAAGGTTAAATGCACACAGTCGCATTTATAACATACAAGGATATCTGAAATTAACATCTTGGTGGGTAACAGAATTCTTTAAAAAAGGAAAACAAAAAACCCTCAACAACACACACACAAACAAACAAAACAACCCACAAAAACCATATCCACAAACAAACAACTCTGCTCAATCAATTTTGATTGTTCCCCAGGTTCAATTACTGCCTTCTTTCTTGTGTTTTAAAGTTATCACTTTTATCTTTCACTGGCTAGTATAACAGCTTCTGCTAACCTTTTTTTTATCTCCAGCCACCCTCACATAAATACCTGTTCTGGTCCCTTCTCATCTTGCTGACATGGTCTTCCATAGGGTCTCCACATTTGAAATCATCTCTTCCAACCTATTATTTCCCATAGACTTTCAATGTGCAAACTGAAAATACATCTCTGACCCACGAAGTCTGCTCAAGACTAACGCAGGCATTCTTTTATGCTTGATCCTCCTTGACTGTACTTTCTTTCCTTCTTACATGTAGCTAGAAGGTCATGTACCAAAAGGATCTGTCTGTATTTTATCTGTAGAGTATTTCTATACTTGCTGTAGCTACATTTTAAGCCAACGAGGTTAAATATTGTGATTACATATATTGTATATGCAGATAGCCTGGTTCATCCTTCCAAATGCCAGGCTGCTACTGCTTTGTGTCTTGTCCTGCAAATAAATATAAATAACTCTGGTATGCAAGTACCCACATTTGATTTTGGCCTTCAACAATACTTTGTAACAAATTTCTTTTAGTGAAGTTATTCATACTTCAACAGTGTAAGGTACTTCCTCCCACCTTTGTAAGTTTACCTTACCTTCTTTGTTTTTCGATGCTGCAATCCTCTCTCTAGGTGACGAATATCTAGATATTCTGGATTTTGGGTGTTTAGGTCAGTGACAATATCTGCCCACCTACAGAATAATATTATTACCACTCGGCTGGCATCGATGAAACCTCAGCACTACTAAGACTCACGTACACACACATGCAAATACAGATCTGCAGCTTTAAACAGTCTTACTAGTGATTTAAAGATAAATGTGTAAAGATGTAAAAGCCTCAGTATTAGAGACATCTAAGTGACATCTAAAGTGTCACTTTTAAACAAAGCATTCACAGTTGTTATTCCTGCTCTTGGGAACATCTTCCAAAATGAGTAAAAGAGCACCATGAGTTATTAGTTGTGGACCCTTACCAATTCATCAGTTTGTGAAAGGAAGAAGCAAAGTGTGGTTTAGGCAAGGAGAAACACTAGTTTTTACGTATTTAATCCTCTCTTCCCCTTTCATACAATTTTTTTAAAATTCTTATCTGTTCGGGTTTTTTTTTCCACCCACTAAACATGTTTTCACCAGACAGCTCTTACCATAACTCACTCCTCCTTTGTATCTAATTCCCATCTGTAACAAACTGTCATTTCAACCATTCCCCATTCATCCAGCTCTTCAGAGTTTCACAACTTCTTCTTGTCCAACTGAAATAAGTGTCCCCATATCCCAGACCTCTTTAAGCCTACACTTTGCTTTTTCATTTCTGTAAATGTGTAATTACCACCTTCTCTCCAACACCACCTCCAAGTTCAGAAAATCCATTTCTACGCCAAACCTTGCCCTCCTATCTTGAGCATTGAACTTTCTGCTAGTTCTCATTGGGATAGTAGCAGGAAGAATTTGTCTCCACAGTCAGAAATAATACTACAAAGGTTTGCAGTATGTTTCAGAAACCTTTTCCTCTAATCATTTGTAGCTTATATACCACAGGACAAAATCCTGTCAGTGGGATGTATAGGATGCCACTTCTCAGCACAGCAGCCCCATGCATAATTGCGATTTTTATTTTGTTGCACTTAATTTCATTTGTCCAAAATATCCAGCTATTTACAGTTATTGACATAGTCACATCACTGACAAAACAAACAAACAAAAATATGTGGCCTTTAGGTACTGGGTTAGATTGGACTGGCTATGAAGCCGTCAGACAAACACTTTCAATTTTTCAAAAAAATGAGAGAATAAAGAATAAGCAAAGCAGAAACTGTATGATTTCTTTATTATTATTACTTTTTCACAGCTCTTTTCCTAATACATCAAGAAAAATCACTCCATAATTAACTCAAGGGTTGGCAGAGAAGCTATTTGCTAAAGTTTATGTTTTAACCACAGAATTGGTTTCTTGAGAAACAGTATTTTTTTAACTGTTCTGTTTGTCTAGTTGAGACACCAATTTTGTATGAGCCAGAGCTCATACAAAATAAATATATTGTTTTAATTCATAGATTTTTATTTTTAAAATCCCTGCCCATGGCAGGAGGGTTGGAACTAGATGATTTTAAGGTCCTTTCCAACCCTATGATTCTATAAGCTAATAACACAACTGAGCAAAGGCTGTACCTGCACCTGAGCTAGGAGATCTTGGTAGCAGCATAATACCATGTGCGCACCCCAGACACAGCCTGTATATGTCCTCAACTACACATAAACACCTCCAAGTTCTGTACAGCCTGTAAATCACATTTGGCATGATCACAGACAATTGAGGCATCTTCCTGACTAATGTGAGCTGCATCACACTCAAACAAGAGAAACAGGATTTGGCTTTCAGTAGCTCATGCATGTCCTGCCACGATACAAAACTGTAGAGCCAGCCTAGAGGTCAAAACATGAAGTTTCTCACTAAAGCACCTGCTTCTGTTAAAACTATAGTATACTCACTCAAAAGAACTAAAATGTCACTAGGTGACCCTTAGCAGAGAAATATAAATCAGTCTGGAAAAACCCATATTGGTTTATATTCTTACCAAGTAACATACCTTTTACAGTGTATTGTCGGATGTTTTCTGCTCGGCTCTCCAATTAAGATCCAATATTCTACTTCTTGCTGCAAGACACGACCTCTGTTCAATAGAAGATACAATCCTAGTGAGATTTACTGTGCATACAAAAAAGAGAGATAAACATTTATATTGTTCTTTTTAGGATTGTTTAGTGTTTAAAATTGTTTCCTCAGCCAAACTAAAAACCAGTTCCTGTGCTATAAACAGTGTTGCAATTGCATATGGGGAAACTTTTTGTTTCACAAGTCCTGGGAGAAGCTAGGAACAAGACAGAAGCTATTGCTCATTATTTGGGAAAAAGACAGACCTTCATAAAATAAGTGTTTCTTGGATGAAAGGCAGTATAGTGTAAGATCCAAACAAACATCTTTCTCCCTATCTGTCATGTCTAACAGAGTCACGGAAGAGCCCCTCCACTGTTTTTCAACTATACCCCAGATGACAGTTGTTACTAACAGCTGCAGAGTAACCAGTAAGAAATCAACTGGCAACTTCAACTGCTTCCTCCTAAGGATACAGTACCACATATTAAAAAACAAAACCTCAACTGACACTAGTTCCAAGTTTGTAAGCAACTTCCAAGAAACTCAAAGCCTGAAGTAACTTTGCCAGGGAAAATTTGTGACAGACATCAGAGCAGACTGATGAGATACAAAGGACTGCTCTGTGACTTCCTGTGTCTAACTATCCCATGAAACACTACTTCAGCTTCAATTGTGACAAAAGCTGAGATTTTTCTGCCTAGGGTATTAGACAGCACATAGCCTTACTCTTGTAGTAATTTGTTACTTATAAAACTCTCTGCAAAATAAAAATGTATGCCATCATTGTACAGATGGGAAACCAAGACACAGGACAGATTAACTGACTTACCTAAAGTCACACTGGAAGTCTGTGGTTGAACTGGGAACTGAACCTAGGTCTCCCGAGTCCAAATCCAGCAACCTAAGATCATATAGAAAGTCTGTGGGTGACCTAAGAACTGACTCCTAAGCTCAGCCTATTTCTTTTGGGATTTTAACATTACTTAGCTTGATTTTTAAATAAAAGGTTTCCTTTATAACCAGAATGCAAAATCAGGTAAACAAGAACTGCTGCAGAATCTACTGATAGTGCTTCTCAAACATATTTTTTCCCAATAAGATATTAGAAGATACAAAAAGAACAGGATGTTCTTCTGGTCAGAGCTCCAGGCAAAAATGAGGCTATAAAAGTTCCCTGAAGTCATTACTTCATGTTACATTGTTAGAAGAGATCTGTTGTTAGGATTAAAGTCTAATATTTGCTTTAAAATAACATCACTAGTAACTGAGAATCCCTTTCAACCACAGGTAAAGTATCAAAATTTTTGTTCTTGCTCACTGCTAAACAATATAAATTCAAACTAGATGTAAGGTATACTGAATTTCCACACACTGCATCATACTGTTTCTCAAACTGCTTTTTTTATCCAGTAAATGCTTTTTTTTTTTTCCTCTGCTCTTTAAAGCAGATTCTTAGTAACTGATCAAGCAAGCAAGACATTAACCTTTCAGTAAACTTAAGCAAACTAATGCAGTGGGACTTCTATTTTGGACATATTTTCCACACTCTTCTAACTCACGTTGCATGTCAGTGGAATAAGCTTCTGTATTCTTCTATTCATATACTAAAAGCTTTCATTAACCCTATGGTCAGACTCACACTGGGAACAAATTAGATTCAGGTGATTATGCTTTATTACCTCCAAAAAAAAATACCATTTTGAACTCTAAAAGGTAGATTTAGCATTCCCCACTCTGTGATGTGACTCTACACCTTCAATACAGCCAAGGGTAGACTGCTTGGTAAGCAGACTGCAAGACTGAGGCTCACCTTACATCAGTGACCTATTCTTGTCATTGTTTAGCATTCCCCACTATTGGTATCTACTAATTTTGCCAGGGATTGCCTTCTTGGGCTCAATGATACTACTTATAAATACCAACCAACAGTTGAACCTTGATAAAGTCCAGCAGAAACCTCCACTACATACTGTGTTTGTCACTACTCTGAGAGAGGAAAAACAGTTTGATTCTGAGGGAAAAGAAACTACTCAGCATATCAAACAGCAGCAAGTTAAATGCCTTATAAAAGCAAAGATAAATTGCCTCAAGATTATGAAATTTTTCAAATTTAAAATTTGTGGGTTTAATGGAAGACTTTCCCTAAACTCAGTATGAGTATCAATTATATTATCCTCTTTTAAAACCTATATTTAATTGAAATCTGTATAAACCATTCCATTATTTTATCCTGAGCAATGTTACCTTGACAAACCTGGAATTATTCAGGTAATTGTATTTTTATTCTAAACCAACTGGCATATTAAGTTTCACATGGTCTTTGAGAAGTGCTTCAGCGTTCCAAGCATTGTTTAAAAAAGCCAAACATACTGTGATATGCCAGAGACCTCTTCTAGCTCCTCTCCCTACCCCCTACCAATTCTTGGTAATAAATTATTCAGGTATTTTTAGTCTTCTAAGCCTTACACTCCAGTAGTTACAGTTTATCATCATTATTAGTCAACACTGCAAAAAAAGTATGTAACCACCATCCTGCAGTACCTACACATCCCCTGTTCTCACCATACACACCGTTTCTTTAAGTGCAGATTTTATCACACCTGCTTCACAGTGGATTACTATCACTACAGAAAAATCCCACCACACACATACACAACACACACTTACTTCTTTTGTTTCCCTTTAGAAAACATCTGTCTTTTTTCAACCCATATGGTTTTATTCTTCAGACTAGTTACCTCCAACTTGTCCTTCAGGTAAGTAACTACCCTCTCTATACCCGGCTAAAATGTACCTAAATAATTTCTTAGTACCAGTCATAGTTTTCTGTTTGAGTTCTCTCAATTTAGTCTGCGTAGTTGTGTTTCATTTTAAATCAATCCTTTCAAATCACACTGCAGTGTTTTGCTAGTTCAGACATAAATGCTTTTACAACATACACTGAAATGTTATCTAGGGATAAAAAATGGTACCAACTTGTAGTGAATTTTTCTGTATGTTTCCGTCATTAAAGCAAACATAAACACAGTATCTTACCTATAGGCTTTGCTGGCTTTTACTGGGGTTGCTTCAAACCCAATTGGGCAAAAATAATGGTTTTGGCAATGGTAGATGTAGGCCATTGATTCATCTTTCAGTCCACGCGTTAGCTTTGCAAGGGCCCCTGCAGCTGCAAAGAAAGATCAGGTTACAAGGCAGACAGCTTTGGATTCAGCACAACACATTCAGCAAAAAAAAAAAAAAGACCTATCTGATAATATAGAACAGTTACATTGCTTTTTAAGCTAGAGTACACGACCTGACAGGCATGCACAAAATACAGTTTTGATTTCAAACTTCTTGTTTGGTTTGGGTTTTTTTATAGCAGGCAGGAAATTAAATACTATCTGCCATGTAATCTGTACTAGGGAAACGGAATATAAAGTACGCATTCCATTTAGATCAAAGTTACATTAAAAATTACTTGTTGTGCAAAAAAGGAAACAAAATACACACTGCAACACAATGCAGTCCCACTGCCCCAAGTTAGATATGGCACACGTCAGTACTAAAACCCCTAAAAGGTTTTAAACATTTTAGTATCGTGTCCTTCCTGGAGCTTCCTAGTCTCAGGAACGCATTCCACATTTGGGCATACAATATTTTGTAATGTGACCGCAGTGCTCAGTTTCAGGGAAAGACTAGAAAAGGCACTAAGACAGAATTCTCACATAGGATACCAAGACCTGGATGTGCAGTGCCCTCCTGAACACCTTAAAATTCCAGTTCTGTGACAGCAGAATATATAGTACAGAATATATTTTATCAAAATAAAACTACAAATGAAAGTTTTAGCAAAATAAGAGAAAAAGTAAAACCAGAAAAATCAGGCAACTTGGAGCTATTTGACAGCTTATCTCAAACTGGAAGTACTACTTACTGGTTTTGTCCTGTCAAATGCTACATATTGCAGGATTTTTCAGTTTACACCCTATAAGATGAATGCTTTAGAATTAGCTACGTACCAGTTTCTCCAGCTGTCTTGTTCTTCCCATGAGGTTTATACAGAACATACGAGCATCCCTTGATATGGAAGTGATCGTTTATTTGCCTAAACCATCTGAAACAATAAGCTTAAAGATTGTAGTAACTCAAAAGAGTAATTAAATGCAATTTTCTTTACTCCCATTTTTCTCCTGCTGGACAGTTTAGAAAAAAAGTCTTGGAGGGCTACTAAGTACCTACCACACTAGTATATAAACTGTAGATAGCCATGGTACCCTAATAGAAACAAAACTTAACATATCCTAGAGAGATAATACATACTAAAGCCTTTCCCTTCATTTTGCTTTTTCAGACCCAATGTGAATCCATAATAACAAAAGGGCTGAATGTGAAATGTTGGTCCTATTTGTGTTTAGTCAAGTCACCTCTAACTAATTACTCAGCCTTTAGAAAGATACTCAGGTTCTGAGATGTCAGTGTTCAACCATGATTTGTAAGCTACACAAAGAGAATCTTGTAAGACACCAGAAGGCATGACCCTTCAAGTGAGACCATGCTGGGCTTCTGTCACATAAGCTTCACAATGCCCAAGTGTTACACAAGTCTCATACTGTAACTCCTCACAGCAGCAGTAAGTGAAGACAGGTCTGCAATTTTTCCACATCAGAAGATTCAAATTCATATCTCTGAAGATAATACCTCAGGCATAAAGCTATGTCAGGTGATGGGGTTGGCTCCCAGCCCTCCTTTTTACCAACCTGCCCAGTACTTACAAATGATTTAACCAGGAAATAAAAAAACCTAATAAGGTAACATTTCTGCAGCACACAGAGCACTCAAGGGGGAAAAGTAAGACAAATTACAAGTTTAACATTTGCATACACTGTTTACATAAAGATTTTTCAGCTTGGTCTATAAGGGTTGCTGTACCCTGACATATTCCTAGAGATAAAAAATCCGGATGTAAGTCTCTTAAAGGAAGTTTTCATGACACCTTTCACTAATCTAACCAGTATGCTACCATTAAAGGACAGACTGCTGCCACATTCTCAAATCCAGCACCCACATTTTGTGCCAGACCCTATACACTGGCTTCAAAAATACTAGCTAGATCAAATCCAACTCATGAAACAGGCAAGAATACAGCAATTTTTTTTTCCATCTCAAAGAAGATAACAGATCAAAACCCTGTCAAGGAGTTCAACAGTCAAGTACGATATGCTTTAATTGCATCAAAAGAAGCATGACCAGCAGGTTGAAGGAGGTGATCCTGCCCCTCTGCTCTTGTGAGACCTCACCTGGAGTATTGTGTGCATTTCTGGTGTTCTCAACATAAAAAGGACATGGAACTGTTGGAACAAGTCCAGAGAAGGGCCACAAGGATGATCAGGGCACTTGAATACCTCCTGTATGAAGACAGGCTGAGAAAGTTGGGGCTGTTCAGCCTGGAGAAAAGAAGGCTGCGTGGAGACCTCATAGCAACCTTCCAATATCTGAAGGGGGCCTTTAGGGATGCTGGGCAGGAAGTCTTCAGGGACTGTAGCTATAGGACAAGGGATAATGGGTTTAAACTTAAACAGGGGAAGTTCAGGTTAGATATAAGGAAGAAATTCTTTACTGTGAGGGTGGTGAGGCACTGGAATGGGTTGCCCAGGGAGGTTGTGAATGCTCCATCCCTGGCAGTGTTCAAGGCCAGGTTGGACGAGGCCTTGGGTGATATGATTTAGCGTAAGGTGTCCCTGCCCACAGCAGGGGGGTTGGAACTAGATGATCTTAAGGTCCTTTCCAACCCTAACTATTCTATGATTCTATGCTCCTGTTTAATCCTAAAACTCCTAATGAGCGTAATAGAATAAAAAGGACAAAGATTTTAGACCCAACTTGTCAAGATCAGGAAATGGCAGAAGTGAAACAGAATTTGAAATTCAAGTGTTCTGTGACTCCAACCCCACCTTTTCTTTTTTATTTTATATAATCTCCTGAACAGCCAAATTGCAGCAAAGATGCAGCACTCACTATTTCATTTTCAGTTCTTAAATTATGTTTTACATAAAGCTACTAGTCTATATCAATTGCCTTTTCAGGCTGTTCCAGTGGCTTTAACTTGCATTTTCAAAAACAGGAAAATGAAGGTAAAGAAAAAAGTTTTCTAGCTAGGAGAGCAGATTCATTAGAGCATTCTACAACCATTAAAAGAACTGAACCAAATATCAAATAGAATTTCATGTCCACCTGATCTGTGCAGCAACACTGCACTATGCAAAATGGCTAGTGAAAAAAAACTCTTTGCAAAGTTTTAGGGTATTGTCAGAGTACCCAGGTACGCTTCATTATCCTAAATGTAAGAAGACTAACCTGTGTCACAAGTTAACTTGTCAACCACATTTCTTTTTTTTTTTAATAACTGAACTACTACTGTGTAAAGGTTCTCTCTCTCAGTTTCATGTTATTTTGCATACATTAACATCAAAAAACAAACAGACCTCATTAAAGTTGTATTTCCAGTGAAGGGACCAAACCGAATCTCTTCAAATGGAGGCTGAAATCCAAGTATATGCAAAGCTTCTTCTTGAGTAATAGGTGGTAAACTGGCAGGTGACAGAGGAAGAGAAAAAAGAAAAAAAATTGTTTAATTAAGTAATCAGCAATGTCTTTTAGAGTCTCTAGAGGCAAAGCAGTCTATGTATGACTCACCTTCCAGCTCCCAGTGTACTATATAAGAAATTCCAGCAAGACACTAAAGATGAAATTCCACAGGAAGTCTTGTATTGAGGTCGGCTAACACAATACCTAAACAAAACAAAACCTCAAACACCTTAGTAAGTGTTCCTGATTTAGTAGTTCAGGGGCAACCTGAACTACTTTTCTGTGTGCCATGTTATCTTAAATGTTTTTATGTCACCTGTATTAAAATTAAATTAAAAAAATATATAAATAAAAAATTTTAAAATGCAATCTCAAAAAAAAGTAAACATGTTAAGCAATTTCTCTGTGAGATACTACTACCCTATTTCACACAAATCACTAGGAAAAAATGGTTCTGTACTAAAGTAGTGTACAGTTTGATCCAGTCTCTTCTGACACATAAACTTGTACTAAACTGCACTTCTACCAATTTACTAACAAATGCCATTCCAAGTTGCAGATTCCACAGGCAAACTCTAACTGATGTCACAGACATACAGATATCTAACATAGGCATACAGATGTCTAAACTAAAGTCACAGACATACAGTAAAAAACAGATGGATTCAAAAACTAAATGAACTTAGTAGAATCATAGAATAGTTATGGTTGGAAAGGACCTTAAAAAGATCATCTAGTTCCAAACCCCCCACCATGGGCAGGGACATCCCACACTAAACTATATTCATATGATACAGGTTGTACAGAACTGACATATTCCAGCCAAGTATTTCCCAGTGAAAAGAAAAATCAGGAATAAAACATATCAGTGGTGTTTTTAATTTTTGCCTGACCATGCTAATGAACTTGGGTGTTTGTTTTTATTTTCAGCAACGAATCCCCACATATTTTTTTCCCTGTTGAAAGAAAAAAAAAATGTTTACAGAGAAAAATTTATGAATTTCAGCAGATGGGAGGAAAGCTCTTATTCCACCTGTAAAAAGTAAGAGATTTCAGGTATGTATGCTTAACATATCCCCATTTCTACTTAAAAAGTAGTATGAAGACATTATTAAGTTTGAAATCGGATAACCAGCAACAGTGTTTTACTAACAAACAGTATGGAGATAATCTTAAACACAATTAATAAACACTACCATCTCCGGAGGTCCAACACTTTCCTCTCCTTCACATCTTCGAGGGCAGAACGCTGAGGACACTCCCTGTGGTGTTTGTTTTTTTTATCTACAGATTTTTTCTTTGTCACCTGCTTCTTCATGTTGCCTGCAAAACAGATTTCAGAAACGAATGCCTAGTTTGCCTTTCCTATCTTTCTTCTTAAATATTTTTAGTAATAGCATACACCTCAAATAGAGATGCTGGTTGTGTTAGTCAGTGCAAACTGGGTCTAAACATTAATTGAAGGAAAAAGCTCAAATACATAATCAAGATTGTCAACAGGTTTGTGAAGCTGCCATCAGCTCTGTAAACATCATTGTGTTCAGATCATGAACAGCATTAATGATGACCTGACTGACTGTTCAGAGAGCAGTCAATCTGATTATTCTAATGCGATAAATCAGCCATCCCAGAAATGGGCACTTAGACCACCATGGACTTCCCATCTCCTAACATTAAATGCACAGAAAAATTTAATGAAACACGTTTTCCACGGCCAAACTCTGTAACCAGCTAAACTTTCTGATAAAAAATTATACGCAAGTCCAATAAGAATAATATACCCCCAAGGTCTTTTCCTTTTTGTAAGCCACTAAGGCAGTGAAAATGAAAAATTTGGCCACATGCTAGAGCATTAGTATTGCTGTCCTATTCTGAAGCCATCACTTCCAAATGAAACATACCACATATATTTTAACAGAAATGACCATCCTGTAATGACAGTAAGATACTACCATTTGTTTCTTATTAGTACTAAAGGACACTATATGTACACATGAAAAAGCAAAGGCAACTTGCCAAAGATGTTTTTAAGTTTTACTAAACCAGTTTCATACTAAGGTAGAGAAAGCAGAAATCTGAGTAGCTAGCCAAGCCATTAAGAAAAAAATCTACAGCCTTCTAAGTGGAGGGATTATGGGACAAAGAAAACCAAGTGCATATGCAAGTGCTTTATTCACAGATGCAATCTGTGAACAAGCAGAGAAAGAACATAGGAGGTAGCAAAGAAATGGGCTCCCTAACAATGTATACAAATAGCAAATAAAAATAAATACAATTCTCTAACAGAAATAAACTGTTGTCCTAGGTAACTATAATAACTTCATTTACCCCTTGTCATAATAAACCAGGTCTTTCATTTCAAAATAGATCTCTGAAGTAACTTGAAACATTTTGCAAGTGACAAACTTGTACTTACCAGGTAGAAGTAATCACTGCACAATGCACTAGGTGCTACTAAAAGAAAAAAAAACACTTCAAAAACCCAAGGGTGTGAGGGGTGGGTGAGCACACAAACAAATATAAACAAAACCAGAGGCCATCCCAAATAATACCCAAAAGCCCCACACAGTTAAGCAGCAGCCAGCCCTGTTTTAGAGCCACTTCCCCAGGCAGCTACACCTGACTTTCACTCCTCCCATTTCACTTGTTCCTTTCCCAGCAAGCAAGTTGTTTGAAATGATGTACATGCTTTCTTCTATAGGACTTCTTCAAGAGATAGGTGTGCTGACCAGGCCCCTCCAAAAATAAGTTGTAAACACAAAGTGTCTCCTAGCATACCATTGAATCTTCACCACCTCACCTGCTTTGTTCTTCAGATTGGTGGTGACGCCATTGAACTCTGATTTGTCGATTTCCCATGCCAGGGGAAGCTTTCCAAGGTCACCAGACAAGCCTTCCAAGTTAGCATCTTCACTGTAGATTATATCTGAAGCACCAGTTTGAATTCCGAGTAAGCCAGGGGTGTTATTTCCAACATTTAAGGCAGTACTGCCTGACAGACAGGCACTAACTGAAGCACTTGGGCTCTTACAAATAGATGTTACTCTGTTTAAAAAAGCATAGTCTGAGCAGATGGTATAAAATTTCTCTCGTGTATGAGTCACAGGACATCCCCATGGATAATGCCCATTTCCCCTCGACACCAAGGACACAGTGGAAGCATCTGTCATGCAGTATGGCTTAACAGGATCATGAAGAGAAGCTTCTGGGGATTCCTTCCCAGGTTTGTTTTCAGTGTTTCCATTATTTCCAGAACCATTCTCCTTTTCATCTTCTGAAATGTTAGGCATTGAACAATACTGACAGAGTACTGTAGAGCTAAGAATGCTTTTTTTTTCTTTATGCTTTAATTACATCAGAGTTTGCATCATTACCTCCATTGCCTCTGCAAGGTATTGACAATGTACCTGAAAGAAAATGAGAAGTTAGTACAATCAGCAACATAACACAAAGCTCATCTTTGAATAATCATGTCCAATAAAACCTGAAATACCCTTCAAGATACGTCACAACATACATCATGCCTCTTCCAAACCATCTCTAGATTCTACAAACAGCATTTATTTCTGAATTGCCCAGTATACGCCCTAATGATATTAGGATGAAGTTATCATGAGTAATTACACACGTAAATGAATACATTAATGATAAATAAAATAAATAAAATAAAATCTCTTCCTACATTTCTGCAGTTGTGGTGGATCACTTCAATTCCTTACAGTCAGAATACATAGGTAGAGTATGAAATCATTTATACAAATTAGCAAATCACAAAAACAACTTAAGGTCACTTAAGAAGAATTCCGCATACTTTTGCCCCTATTGAAGTTCTAGCTTACAGAAAATTACAGTATCTATTATCTCCCTTGACTGCAAATTGACAAAACTACACTCTTTTTGACAGCTTTCCTCACGTGGCTGTTAAGGCTTTGTATTTTTATGTGCCTCCTATTCTTCAAGATGTAGGAAAACCGGGTTTATTTACAGCAGCTAAGAATTCCCAAACCCAAATTTAGGAGCCTGGCTTGCTTTTAACACCCGTTTTTAGAAAAGCAAACTGACAGCACTTCGCACGCCCGCGGCGCAAAGACACCTCGCAGACGGGAAACCCGGCCCGGAGGAAAGGGGAGTCCCACTCGAGAGCCCACTCCGGCAGCACTGACTTCTGCTCCCTGAGCTGACGACCCGGCCCCGCCAGTGGGACTCCAGAAGCCCTGCTCTACCTGAAAGCCTGCAAGGTAAAGCAGGAACACAGCACCACAGCAGCGGTGAGGGCAGCCGGTCTGCGTCCAAACCCGATCCGCCCGGGGAGCTCCCGCTCACACCAGCCCCGCGGGGTCACGCACCGGGAAGGTCCGCACAGCTCCCCGACAGACGAGCTAGAGGGAGGATGCCCGGCCTCAACAGCGGGGCGGGACGGTGAGGCTGGGGCGCCGCCAATTGGGGCCTCAGTGAAGCTCTGCGGCCCCGCCCCCCGCCAATCAGCTCCGGAGAGAACAGCCGCTGACCGGCGGTAGCAGGGCCGGCAAGGAGAGCGGATGGGCCCGCTGCGCTCCTCAGCGCCGGTGGCGGGGCAGAGGAGGGGAAGGGCGGCTGCTGGCGGCACGGCCCCGCTCCCGGCCCATTACCTGCGCGGCTTGGCGCGGCGCCCGCCTGCGTCGGCTCCCCCGGCCGCGGCGGAGCGGGGACGCGAGCACGCCGGAAACAGACACGGCGTAGCGCGGGCTCACCTGCGCCCCCACCGCCCCCGCCTCCGCAGCGCCGCCGACGGCCGGCACCAACTCCCGCGGCGGTCGGGGGGATACGTGGGGCTGTCGTGATGTAGCGGCGGCCGTGCTGTCCCTGCAGTCCCTCATGGTGGCTCAGAGGAACCGGCTGCGCGTCACTCTGCTGAGCTGCGGCTGCGCCTTGGCGCTGCAAGACCCATCGCTTTGGCTGTTCTCTCCCCTTCGTATGCGCTCTCATGGTCTCGTCCGCCGCTGCCCCGGGGGCGGGAGGTGCAGGAGGCGCTCAGGGATGGCGGTGCGGGGGTGGGCGATGCTGCTGTGGAGGCCCGGAGGCCCCAGCTTTGCTGCGGAACTGGCTGCGGAAAATCCTGGTCCCAGCTGCCCGCCGCCGCTGGCCATACAGGGCAGGTGCCTGGCTCCGGACTGCCGGCTGCGGGGACGCCTGCCCTGGCAGGCCGGGGGCACTCCCCGCATTCGCCTCATCTCCCTGGAATGCGGGCGTTCGAGTGCCGCCGCTTCCGCTAGGTGGGCTTCCTCGCCCTGGGCCTGCCGATGGTGGCGAGGTTGGGGCCGCCCCTCCGTGCCCAAAGCTCCGAGGGCAGCTGGATGCCTGATCCAGGCTGTCCCCGCTGCCCCGAACTGCCGTCGGGTTAAAGTAGGCTCTGTTCACGGCAAGCATTGGCTCAACTTTGGTATCGTGCTTCTAGCTTGGAGACACCTTCCCGTTGAGGTGTTGGCGCATGACAGGGAGCGTTGGGCTCCTGTGGAGCAAGGGGCAGGTATCTGAGCCTTGTGTTTGCACAGGTATCTCTTGGTTTCCCTGACCGCAGCAAGAATACATGTAACAGAAGTGCTTCCAGAAAACTCAAGAGGAACAAACGATGATTTCAGGTCTAAAATTACTGATGGTATTTCCCATCTCATCTTCACTGCAGCCAGCATATTTTCACCACCATTAAACGCAGTGACACTGAAGACATGAGTGCAGTGCTTCTGGTACTGCCACAATTATTTAAATTGTATTCGTTTTTAAATACTCAGATTTGTAATCATTATTGCTTTTATAATGGTATAGTTACGAAATTAAAAACAACAAAGGAAAATACTGATCAAACCTAGGAAGATCAAAAGGTTACATGGTGTTCTTTACTGCTGACAGGGGATCCAGTGCTAGTGATGACTGCATGGTACCCTCAGAGCCCTTATCCCTCTCAACAGTTTCTGAGAGAGGTGCTGCAAGTAATGGAAAGAATCCTTCAGTGTTAGTTATTTGATAGTGTTCAGTGGTTAGGCAGAGCAGAGTATCTGTAGTAGCCATGGACACAGCCAAGTTTGCATCTCTTGGACACAAGGGAGACAAAACTCAATCAGATTCAAAGTTTTATGTGATTTTTTTTCCCTGAGAAAACCTGCCTCTCATTATGGAGAGCATCCCTTATGCTTTTGCCAGCTGGAAGCCTGCTGAGCTTTAGTTGGCCAACAGCTTTTAAAGTAATTAAACAATTCTGCCTCTTTGAGCCAAATTATAGGCATGAGGGTAGCAGCAATGTTGGCTTTGCCAGTCAGGACTAAAAATAGGTTGCATGACTGATTTTACAACTTGTTTGGGTGCTAACAAATAGTGCCAAATCTCTACACAGATTCCCCAAGCTGAATTTAATGTGGGGGAGAAAAGCTGGAGGAGAGAATGGCAGGAGGTTAGAAGTGTGTCACCTTGACTTCATTGCTGCTGTGCTTTTTTTAACATGCCAATGCCGCCCTGCTAGGAAGAGGATGTTCTGTGAATTCTGTAGCTGTGACATTTCTTTTTAAAGTTCTCTTCCATTAAAGGAGGCTAGCTTGTTTCATGCAGTAAGACATAAGTTGAGAAGGAGTGTGATTTCAGCCTGTAAAATACATTGGGGGAGTAAAGATGAGGAAGGAAAAGGAGCTAAAGGGTCATAGATATAAAGTAGGGCCTGCGATAATTTTTAGCTGGAAATTGCAAATCTTTTAACTGCAGGATGTCCTGAGAAATCATGTCAATGGGAATGGGGGGGAGGAGGAGGGGAAGGCAGGTGGCAAAAGTCTGGCTTCAAAAGTTGGGAACTTGGTAATATTTTAAGGCATTTTGTGATGCGGTTGCTGGCTGGAAAAGACTACATTCATTGACCCAAGTGGTCCTTTCTCAGCTTGTCGTTTTCTCAAAGCAAGTGATTTGTGTGTGTCTGTGTGTTCACTTTTCTATAAATATAGTTGCAGTATTTCAAAATGCAAAATAAAAAATCTCATTGAAATTGTGACTCCTTGAGGATGTTCAATTTTCTGTATTGCCTTATCAAGAATAAAGCAATAAAGAACAATGGAAGTATCTTTTGGGATTAAAGTTCTTTCACAAAGAAGCCTTCGTTTTGGTGAGGTTTCTTCAGCTAAATGACAAAAGCATTTGAGTATGTGTGTGTACAGCCTATCTGAAAGGAGGTTGCAGTGAGACAAGTGTTGATCTCTTCTCCCAAGTAATAATCAACAGGACAGAGGCAATGGCCTCAGGTTACACCAGGGGTGGTTTAGATTGGGTAAGAGGGAAAATGTCTTCTCGGAAAGGGCTGTAAAGCATTAGAACAGGCTGGCCAGAAAAGTGGTGGAGTCGCCATCCCTGGAGGTATCTAAAAGAACTGTAGGTGTGGAACTTCAGGACATGGTTCAGTGGTGGACTTGGCAGTGCCGGTCTAACGTTTGGACTCGATGGTCGTTAGGGTCTTTTCCAACGTAAATTATTGTATATGTAGTTAAGAACAGCATCAGCACTAGCTCTCTGCAATCCGAGTTTGGATCGTTTGACAAAGTGCCATCGGGTCACCCAGCGTGTGCGTTTGGACGTACGGCAGCGGTTGCTTTTCACGGAGACAGTGTGCTGTGGGCTGGCGAGGTGCCTCTTCACCTCTGCTCCAGGCACTCCAGTACGGAGAGAACGGCAACACCGAACGCAGAGCCGCGGCAGAGCCGGCTTTCCCCATTCCCGTTCCTCTGAGGCGGGTCCCAGCAGCACCGCCCCGCGAGAGCCCGTGCGTGCGGCGGGAGATCGGCCCGCCCCGATCGCCTCAGGCGCCGCGGGAATGGCTCGCTGAGGGGCCGGGCGCAGGGACAGAGCGGCAGCGGCCCCGCGATCCCCCCGGCTCCGCTGCATGCAGCCGCGGCGCAGGCGGGACTGCCGCGTGCCGCGGTGAGGGAAGGCGGAAGGCCCCGGCTGCGCGTCCCCCGCGCCTCGGCGGTGTTTCTCCGCCGGGGGAAGCTCTGTAAATGCGTGGCCTGTGGCCGCTCTGCTTTGCCCTAGGAGCCGTGGTGGCGGCGGCGGCCGCGGGCGGCCGGCTGAGCGCCGAGCGCAGCGCGGTATGGGGGCCTGGGCTGCGCGCCGAGGCCGCCCTCCCCGCGCGGTACTTTTACATGCAGGCCGTGGACGCCGAAGGGCAGAGGTAAGCGCGGCGGGGAGGCTGCTTTGCACCGCGATGGTGGTCAGGAAAACATCCAAGAGATGGGTTAAAAAGTGCTTGGGTTCCTGCCCGCCACCCGATACCGGAGGGGCAGCGCGTCAGGCGCGGGGCAGCAGAGCTTCTTCCACGCCCTTCCCCCGGCATCGGCATCCCCCACTTGAGTGTTTGCGGGCCGCATCGTAATGGCCGGACCTCTCCGCAGCTTTGAATCGCAGCGGTGCCCCATCCTCAGCGAGGCTGACCTTGCCTGCCCGTGTCCCACCTGAACCCCTCTCGCCTTCTGAGCAGAAATGTGCTTGGGATTTTCGTGTAGATAGGGAAGGCTGAAGGCTCCCGACGTGGCTTTCCCTGGCTGTCACTTAGAAAAAAGCAAATTAATCTTTCTAGGGGTAAAAGCCAATTAATCTTTTTAGGCATATCCAATTACTGCACAAGGGGATGGGATGGGAAGAGAGTGAAAAATGTTCAACAACAAAACGCATATTAGCATGTCAAACGTGTGCTAAATTAGTGTGCTAAATTTACGCACCAGCTTTCTCAGCTTTGTCAAAACCTGGACAGCAGCTAATACATTTAATTATGATATACTTGCTCAGGTGTCCAGCCTGTTTCCACTGTTAGGAGCATCAGTATTTCTCCTAAACGCATAGGCACATAATCATAAGAGTCATTCAGCAATTACTGGCCATTAGGTAAACTTGATTGGGACAAGACCAGTAGGCTTAGTTTTCAGAGGGCACTCACGGCTTTCCATTTCTACAGGAAAGAAACCCTGACTGTACAAGCTAGATAGGAGCTCAGAGTGCTTTTCCAGATTAAACACACTGTGGCATGTGTGAGCCTGGAAGCTGCCAATTCAGCTTATCTGAGAGTGTAAATATTTCCTGCATTTAGTTGAACTGGCAGCTCTCTAGTCTGGTTGGGAGAGTGTCAGGAAAGGTGAATGGGCTGCCAGGCTGCAATGCATTAGTTGAGCTATTCCCACCTCCTCTCTCTATCCCAGACTCTCCTTACATACTTGGGACTCTGTGTAAAGAGTGGAAGGAAGTTGGCAGATGCAGCATTTTGACTGTGCCAACTTTGTTAATAAATGTCATTTTGTCAACACATGTCAATGGTATGTGATAACAATGATTTTTAAAATTTTATTTGGTTTATAGAGGTTTTTCTATGTATGGTGAATTTTAGCAGGATTTCATAAGTACATATTGAATTACACCATCCCACTATAATATTTTTCGCTACCAAGACATTGGCATTTGTAATATCCTCCCCCCCATATAAGCTGCCATAATGATAAAGAAGTTTAACTTCATTCTTTACTTCCTTAAATAGTACTATGAAAATAAACATTTTGCTTGTGTATGTACAATAACAGACTTAATAAGCTGCTAAAGTGAAGCTTGTTTAGTATTATTTTTTCCTATATATCTATAGAGTTATAGAAGGGTTTGGGTTGGAAAAGACTTTTTACAGGTCACCTAGTCAGACCTGCTTGCTGTAGGCAGGGACGCCTTCCACTAGACCAGATTGCTCAAAGCCCCATCCAACACTGCCA